TTACTTGAATAGAATTCCTAATTACGTTATGCTTGGTTAAGAATTCTATTCAAATTAGCAAACGAAAACATTCTGTTACGTCTCGATTCATTTGAGAAGCCATATAAACAACTCGAGCTCGTGTCTCACCGGGATATCCAAACACTCGAAAACAATGTATGAAAACACTCGCGCTTCGCGCTCGTGTTTTCGTACATTGTTTTCTCGTGTTTGGATATCCCGGTGAAACACTCGTTCTCGTTGTTCATATATTACATCCTTACTGCAATAATTTGCTTCAAATTTTGCTAATATGTGAGGGCAACACTAGACCTGATGGCAAGTGATTTTATACCGGGCAACCGGTTTTCAATAATCAATAATAAAGTGAGGTTACACCACTCTGAATCTGCTGAGAAACATTTTTGTCTCAGAAAGAAATTGTGTCTATAAACGCGGCAAGAAATCTGTGACTTAGCTCAAGAAATTATCTGCATGTTCCCTGCATATCCAATGAAATCCTTCACCTGTCCTCATATGACCTCTCACGTCTCCGACCATCTAGCAAAACCTCTGCGAACGAACTCACGGTTTACAAACAATTGCTAGAAAACAATTTGGCAATTAAGTATTAACGTTTTTAAAACGAGGTTTAAACTAACTTTATTTATACTGGATAGCTCCGTCAGTTCTACACTGTTCTTGCTGGAGGTCCAAGTAAAGAACATCCTTTATTGCATGTTCAGGGGGTTGCAAAACGAGCCGCCGGCCGCCGGAACTCCGGTGGGTGTTATGAGGTTTACTGCCGGTTATTTTCTTTAATAAACTTTTATGTGCATCCACATTTCGCTTTTTTGAAGGTACGTCTGTTTTTGGCATATCTTATATAGCCACGATTTGTGACTGAAAAGTACGCCTGTTTTTGGCATACCTTATACAGGGTGTCTAAAAAAACGCTACGGAAATTCAACAGGCTGTCGTGCATCATAAACGTGGCTAAACAATTCAATTTTTACATAGGACGAAAGAATAGTTATTTAGCTTTTCAATGATACTCTTTTTAAGTCGTAACGATGAGAAATGTCACATACTCGTCAAATAAAAATTGCCGGTCGAAATCACATTCTTCCACCGTTGGAAATTGCATCGAAAACGAAACATATTAACAATTCCCAATAGGGAATTAAAATTGAATGTTAAATTATCTAAAATAAGCTCAACTCGTCAATCTTCGTCTTAGTGAGACAATAACTCAATACGAATTTGGTACGAAACATGACTCAATTAACTCCTGAACAGAGAACATTCGTTATCAAAACGTTTTATGAAACAAATAGCTTGCAGTAGGCTCGCGTTGCTTTTGGATTGACTAACTTTACATAATTAATGTATTTTCAATTCCCAACGGTGGAAGAATGTGATTTCGACCGGCAATTTCTATTTGACGAGTGTGTAGCCATTTCTCATCGTTACGAT